AGACTCCCTCACTACTGCGTGTTTCCAGGGCTGGAGGCTGATCTTTTGGCTGAAGACCCTGCCTTCCAGGTCACTTCTAGGATATGGGTTCGTGTCTCAGATTGGGTATCGGTTTGGAGGAGCTGTTACTAAACCCTTTCAGGGGAGAGGTCTGTGCCTTTGGTGAAAAACAGGCCAGCAATGGATACTAAGAAAATAGGAGATAGAAGACTAGCCTCTGGATTCAGCTTGAATAATGGTTTGTTTCACTACTCCGCCCGGGGGTGGAGTCTGTAGTTTGGAGAGAAGCACCTATCTCAAAACCCTAGAATGTGCTGGGGGCACAGTTGTCCCATGTCAGAGTTGGACAATCGCTCTCTTTCCTATTTCCACCCTGTTAAGGTGGGTTCTGTTCGTTAGGAGCAAAACAGAGGTGATGGGGAACAGGGTGGGATGGGGAACTGCCTGACCTCACCAGGGGACACCACCTGGGGAGCAATCTCTCTCCCTCTTCTCTCCCCTCCTTGGTGGGACTTGAGACAGTGGGATCTGCCAGGAGGCTTCACCAAGGAGCAAGCTCCTTCCCTTTTCCACTCCCTCACCAGCTGTGCTTGAGCTGCCAGGGACCACTGAGAAGCTCTGCTGAGGGGTGAAAATTATCCCTTTTCCGTGACTCACCAGTGGACCTTGGGCCACTGCAGACCCCTTGGGAAGATCCATGGAGGATGACGTTCATCCCCTCTTGCACCCCTTCACCAGCAGAGCTCAAGCTGCTGGGGTCCATGGACAAGTCCGCCAAGGGGTGGAAACTTTCCACGCAACCCTGGCGGTGGGGCTTGGGCCACTGGAGATCCCTGGGGAGGGTCCGTGAAGGATGGCGCTTGCCCCCTCTTCTGCTCCCTCCCCAGCAGAGCTTGTGCCTCCTGAGTCCACCGGACAACTCAGTCAAAGGAGCAATCTGTCTCACTTTTCTGTCCCTTCACAAGCAAGGCATAAGCCGCTGGTGTTTATAGATCTCCCAGCAAAGGCGACCTTGCACCATGCCCTGGAGATTTCAAATTACTTTCCACTCCTGCCTCCTCTCCAACCTGCCTGCCCATCCATGTTACCTCTTCACGCTGTCTTCAGGCACTTCCCTGCTTGCGTGGGCGTGGAGGTCAGTGAAGGAGAAATCGTCCCCCTGTGGGAAAGATCACACAGCCATGTGGCTGCTTGTGAGCACGGCCAGCTTGCACTCAATCCCCGCAGTACCACTTGGATTCTCAGAACTTCACAGCAAATCCACGGAGTCACTTTCCTCCTTTTCCCAGCACTGCTGCCCCTTGAAGCTTCTCTGCAATTCCGTGAGGCCGATCCTGTGGGAGAACTACCCACTCCAGTGATTCAGGCCGCCTTCTTCACTTCCCACTCCAAGAGCAGAGAGCCAAGAGGTCATCCCTAGTCCGCCATTTTTGACCCTTCTGAACTTTAAAATTACTATAATTAAAAGTTGATCTCATTAGGTTTAACATTTTTTTAAATCTTGTATAACTCAACTTTATTTCTGCCTGTAAGTCCCCAATCCCCTGCACCCAAATTTGTATAGACAGGTAGAAAATTTCTCTTCAGATATTCTTGCTCCTAGCCACTGCCCCATAGGTTTGGACAATAGTTCTAGGGTCTTAGGGATTATGGATTTTTCCTATCAAATGCTGCCATTTCTTAGTTCTCTTATTTTCTTTTTAAATATCAATTTAATATATGCATGGTCTTTTTTTATTATAGTGATATCCTCAAAATTCTTATAATGTACTAAAAACTCAATTTTACTTGTTCTTAGGTTGGCTTATATGATTTGAGCAACTTTAAAATAGTTGCAGTTGGGTTAACCCCCCCCCCCGAACATGATAAATAAAATAAAATGATAGATTTAGAAGAACAAGTATGAATGAAAGGTATAGTTTACCAAACTTGTTAAGTTTATGTATTTGTGTGGGTTACATATATATCTCATTGAAAATATACATGTTTTCATATAAAACATAGTTTACACAGTTTATTATTATGATTTTAATATGTATTGCCATGTTAGTTTTATTTAACAAATCTTTATATAGAGTTCACCATGTGTCAGGCATTATTCTAAATACTTGATAGATACTAAGTTTCTTCATTAATCCTTATAACAACCCCATGAACTAAATACTCTTATTTCCATTTTGCACATTAGAAAATGGGATACAAAATGGTTACAGAATTTTCTTAATGTCACCCTAATAATAAAGGAAAGGACTGTGATTTGAAACCTCCAGAATATGTGCTTTTAACTACTGTACTATGCTGTTAGTTGCTTAAAAGATAAAAGTGTTCAAAATGTCAACTTGTAGTGCCCATCACTGTTTGGGGCTATTGGTATCTGAAAAGAGATGAATTTTATGACCTATCATTTTTATTTCAGGAATATACAATGAATATTTCATAAGTATGTACATTCATGCATGTTATATATACATATTCACTATAATAAAAATTGTTATGACTACAAAAAGTAGTAAATTAGAAAGGGGAGGGAGGAATGGAAGAAAGGAAGAAGAAAGTAATAGAGGAAGGGAGGGAGGAAGGGAGGGAAAAAAGAAAGGAAGGAGGGCAGTAGGGTTCCAATGATAAGACAACAGCTAACTCAATTTTGGTATAATTATAAAAAATAAAACAGATGGAAAGTGAGAAAGATTAGTGATATCATCAGTGATATACTAGTTTATCAACTCTTTGGTTAAAAAAGTTCTAATTTGTAGTATTTGCCAGTCAACACAGTGTAAATATTCCCACTGTAGCTAATTTCAAGCTCCCAATGTGAAAAATGAGATTTTTCAAGCCAATATTATCCAGCTCCAGCCCACCATTAAAATACAATTTGAAAACTAAATAGTGAGTGAAAGGGTACATTTCCTCAAGTGTATTTTGAAAACAATCATAAGTCTGGTTTGGGAGCAACATAGTTGCATATGAATTTTGGTGATCATAAATTTATCCAGAAAAATGGAAAAATTTTGAGAATGAAACATGGTGCTATTAGTAATTTTGCCTGGACAAGAGTTATAAACCAGGACTGATGGTAAATGGGGATATACACTAATACTACATATGACTCACAATTTTGATAGAAACAATTAGGTGGATTAGAAATAAAAAAGATATAGAGATGAGGTCACAATGAAATTATCAGCAGTTTAGGCATGATGAGTGATTGGATCAAGATTATCTAAAAGAGAATTGAAAAGAGCAGATCAAAAGTATCTAATACATTTATTCAATTACATAGTGGAAGGTAGCAAGAAGAAAATCAATTGAAAGGACAAGAGATTGCAATGTGACATCAGACATAGAAAAGGAAGTATTTACAATTCTCACTACAGTATTGAACTGAAGAATTTTTCCTCAGTAAAATATTAAGCATACTAGTGAAATATGTATATAAATAATTTCAGAAAGGTAGAAGTTTAATCATCTCCTGTATCATTTATATACTTGACCTGTTTTGCAAAAAGGTTCACAAAGTATAGCTGTATTAATACTGCAAACTGCTTTTGGAATGTTTTTGTTCTATGATTTAATTCAGAAAGATGATCATAGCATTGTTTTCCAAAGGTAGACAGACACTACTTTCTTTGATATCTAAAATTTTTGAGGGAGGAAATAGTCATCTGTGATTTTGTGTTAAAAAAATCTGCAACTATTCTTTTGTCAAGGTGATTATTGGTGAATTGGGCCTATTAAATTGTAAAATCATCCAATTTTCTTGTTCCTTTGGTTGTTTGCTCCAGAGCTAGCATGAGAAAGTCAGCATGGTACGCAGCAATTTTTCTTTTCTTTGCAATTGTACAAGGCAATGGATATTCCCTTCTATTTTTCAAAGTGATGTTCTTTTTTCAGCATGAGAGTCCTTAAATCATGGAAGCTATTCAAATCATTTCCCACTTTTTGGAAAATAACATTCACATGAAGGATAATTCTAATTTATTTTGGTGATATAAATATCCCAGTAAATTACTGTGTGTTGAGGTGAATCACCTTTAGGAAGTCATTCTTAAATTACCAAAACTTAAAGTAAAAATAAAACTTTTAACTATGGTCATCTCATATATAAGGATAAGTATAGCAAGTTATCTATATGATGTGCAATGTGTACTTTTGGTCATTAAGATCTTTCAAAAATGGAGAAAATACTTGTTCATCATGGTGATATATGTGTGTGTGTATATGTATATATGAAAATCAGCATAAATGTGAATATCTAGATTTTACTGGTAAGAAAATACAATACAATGACAAAAAATAGGTATAATTTTTAGTAGGGATGACACATTATAGTCTTTAAAGTGACATAAATTGCCATATCAATTCCATCTCCCCAAATCAGAATTTGGGGACAATTATAATCAAGCCTTGATGATCTGATGCTATATGAGACTTACAATTATATTTTGCAACTTATTTCAGCAAATTCTTCAAGATTCATAATAACTGAATGATTTCTGTGTTATCGCAACTCTTCTTTATAGGAGCTGTTATTTGCTAATATTAAGTGAGGCTTATAAAAATGTTACTCCTACCATTAAAAAATACTGAAACATTTTCAGTCTCTTGTCTTTGTGATTAATAATTTTGGAGCCTTTACCCTCATAGCTCTTATTCTTTATTCCATCAAGTAATTTAAACATTGTTGTTTGAACTTCAACAAGATGCCCTATCTTCCTGTGTGATGGCTAGTTTTATGTCAGCTTTGCTAAGAGATGACCACACAGCTGGTAAAATGTTATTTGTGAGTGTATCTGTGAGAGTGTGTCTGAAGTCACTGGCATTTGAATGAGTGTGCTGCGTAAAGAAGATTGCCCTCACCAGTGGGAATGGGCACCATCCAATCCTTTGAGGGCCCGAAGAGAAAAAAATGTGTAAGAAGGGTGAATGATCTCTTCCTGCTTAAGTTGAGACGTCCATCTTCTACTCTAGGCTATCTTCACTCCTGGTTCTCTGACTTTCAGACTTTGGGACTTACAACATTGGCTCCCTGATTCTAGAGCCTTAACCTTCGGACAGGAACTGGTAGTTGGTCACCGGCTTGCCAAAAGCAGATCATAGGACTTCTTAGCCTTCATAATTACGTGAGTCAGTCTTTCCTAATAAGTCTCTTTCTATATATCAATATATATTCTATTTGTCATGTTTCTCTGGAGAATACTGACTAATATACTGTGTGAAATACAAAATTGTAATTTAACGTAAGACATAGAAAAAGAAATATGTGCGATTTTCACTATAATGTCGTACCATGAAATTTTTTTCAGTGTTTCAAAGTGTTACTACTGTATACACCAAAAAGGCACAAAAATATAAGGTTATAGTGTTGTTTTTCTCCTTTATGCTAATAACTAACATGGTTTATGAGAAAGATAAAAGTATTGACATTATTTCCTCTTTTCATCAGCTTGAGTTTTCCATTTTATTCACTTCATCCTATAGGTATAATTTTAATGTAAAAATACAGTAATTGACTAACGGTACAATTCTGGTAAACATCTCTGTTAAATTATGAACTTGAAACATTTTTCAAGGAATCACATTAATATGTATACCTCATGAATTTTATGGTTATACAGTTTTTAAAAAATTGTAATCTATTTTTAATGATTCAAAGGGAGTGCTGTCTTTTTTGTAAATAAAATACTGGAAAGTGAGGAACGGATATTTGAAAAGAATATTATTAAATACCTAAAAATTAACTAATCCTTCAGAGAGAAATTACTTAATTGAATTAATTTATATATTTCCTTATTTATTTTTAACTTTCTGGCATGATTTCCATTAAGGAATCTCCCCTTGCCTATACCTGTGTTTCTCACACTTGTAATTTTGCAGATCCTATAACCATTTTGCAGTCCAACATATCTCGTAGTTTGCTGTATTACCTAGAAATTGTCAGGTTGCATCACTTTGACAAGACTGGAGATTTTACAGTGTTCTTTTCCCAGAAGGCACATAATACCTGGGTTATACTTTTTGTGTCCAATTACTGCTGCTCAATGCCCAGATCCATTAATCTATGAAGAGGTAAAAATAATAATCTTTAATTATTCATCTTTCAAGATAATGAATTATTTTGTCATAGTCAGAAGATTACTAATTAGATTATTATTTTGAATTGAAACATATTGCCAAGTTCGAGACCAGCCTGAGCAAAAGTGACACCCTGTCTCTACAAAAAATAGAAAGAAATTAATTGGCCAACTAAAAATATATAGAAAAAATTAGCCAGACATGGTGGCGCATGCCTGTAGTCCCAGCTACTTGGGAGGCTGAGGCAGGAGGATTGCTTGAGCCCAGGAGTTTGAGGTTGCTGTGAGCTAGGCTGACACCACGGCACTCTAACCTGGGCAACACAGTAAGACTCTGTCTTAAAAAAAAAATGCTCATTTTAATTAAAGCTTAAAAAAATGCTCCTTATTTTAATTAAAGCTCAAAGTGTTCCAATTTTAGCCAATGTGAACCTCTTCAATTTTACAACTGAGTTTTTTTGCCTAGATTCCCACTATATATGTGTATTTTTTCCTTAAATCCAGTAACTGTACTAGAATGCCTATTATTGGTGGCTATTCTTGGTTAGTATCATCATGTAAATATTGCTCTTTTAATATCTAGTTTAAAATCTTTTATTTTAGAGGTTTTTTATTGAATTAGCTTTAATATTTATTCTATTTCTTTGAATTTTTCTTTATTTTCAAGTATTCCAATTATATTTATGCTGAATCTTTTCACTTATTATTACTATTACCACTTTGTATCAAATTTATTTATTCTTTTTTCATTTTTGAATATTTAAGCTTTTCCTCCTCTTTAACTTTACTTTTTATAATGTATTATCTGTTGTATTTGCATGCTTATGGTTTAGTTTTCATTTCTAAAATAATTATATTTTCTTTAAATTCTGATTATTTTAAATTTTTGCCATCTCTTTTTATATATTAAATAGTTGTAATTTATGTTTTTCATGTCATATAATTTCCTTAATGCTTTTCATACTCTGTGTTACGTATTTTTTTTCTTTTCTTTTTTTTCAGTATGCTTTTCTGACACGCTTTTATTATAGGTAAGGATGTTGTTTTGCTTCTCATTCTTGTTTTACTTCACTAAGTGCCTTAATGATTTGATCTTGTTACATTTATGTTTCTCATTTTTATGTAAGTTTAGTTGTCCCAAACTTAAGACAGATGATATCCTTTCTAACTATATCATAACTATGTATTTATTTCTCTCTCTCTCATATATTATATATATGTTGTCTGTACATGCTTGCCACAAAACTGTACCTTATACTGATCTATAATCATAACCAACACCATTTTACATAAAAAAGAAATACCACCCCCCAAACACATGCAACTTCCAAAATAGTCTATACTTTTTTTCTTCCTCATTTTATTTGACATTTTGATAATATTGGACACTTAACCTGTCCTCCTTGAATCTTCTTCTTTGGTTTTACTCACTTATGTAACTATACTTATATTTTTAATATGTGATGAATAGTCTTTATAATTTTTATTGTCTCTTCTCTGACAATGAATTTCCAAACTTGACCTTTTTTCAGACATCTGCTCTACACTTTCAACATATGCATTTTCTGGTATATACATTAATTCATCTAAACTTCTATAATTAATTTTTCTCTTTCTTATTAATTCCTCAAATAGCATCACTCTTTTTTTCCTTCTCATTTCTCTAAGTGATGTCATAAATGCTCAAATCTCATAGTCATGGTTGAGTCCATATTATAGTGTCAGAAAGTATGAATGATCCTTCTTTGCTGAAATTTTTAAATTATTTTATAATTGATAAGATATTTGGTGGCAGTGATACGGTGATAATCATATTCTGACCCCCTCCCACGTCCAGGCCCTCTCTTGTCCTGCTATAAAGCAGCCGTGCGCTTTAGGCAGCGCTGCTCTCACAGCCGTCTCTGGGAGAGGGCCTAACACAAATCAAAACAGTCAGAGGGTTTTTTTTTTTCAGTAGAAGGTTTGTGATTTAAGGTATTCCCACTTAGCCATAAATGGAAGTTAGAAATTCAATTTAAATATTATTATTATTGATTAAACTATTATACATCAAAATAAATCCACATGTACTTACATGTACATGTAAGTTTAATTATTGCTTAAACTATTTTAATTACATGTACTTGTAAGTTTAATTATAAATAAAATAAATATATATGTAGGTACATGTACATGTAAGTACATATACATTTATTTTGATTTGTAATAGTGTAATCAATATTAATCATACATGCACACATTAAATCTCATTTAATAATTGAAGATATATAGCCATTGTATAATCCATTACTATTTGGAAAGCACAAAAAATAAAATTATATTTCAAAATATGCACCACATATAAATATTCAAGATTTATTTTTCTGCTAAATATTAATTAATGAGCATGCTACTTTTTTCACAGATAAGTCTTTATATTTTCCAGTAGAGTTCTATAATATATTGTAGTATTTTTTTCACAGTTTTGGAAAGAGTCTATGAGGCACAAATGAATGATTTAGGTTTGATCTATAAGCAAGTCTCAATGTTTATATGAAAATCTGAAATAAACAAAAGATTTAGTTGTTACAGTATAATTCAACTACTATATATATATATATATATATATATATATATATATACATACCACTTCCAAAAATACACCAACAGAATTTTCAGGCAAGTCCAGTTTGGTTTCACTTAGTTGACTTTACTAATAAAGTAGACAAATGTTTTACTACATACCAAATAGCAGAAGCTGTACTTTTCATCCTGTTATGTCTGCATTCCTGAATGTTGAAAATGATGCTAATATTTATTCACATATTTTAATGAGAAAAAGTATGTTTCTTTGGGAAACACAGCTCCATGGAGAATAATAATTTTTCTATAACTGAATTTTTATTATTGAACATTAATTTAAAATGATATAATCTTTAATTTTAATTACAAATAGTGATCAATAAAATGCCCCAAATCAAAGATGACAAACACTTAGCAACCACAGGCTAAGACTCATTGTCACATGTCTACTTGGAGATCTGCTAGAAGGTATGTAATAAATTTGTGAATTTAATGGAGTTATAGAAAGGGTGTTGAACAGTTATTATTAGGAACATTTATAAAATTACCTTTTATAAATTTATAAAAACCATTTATAAATTTATCTTTAACAAAAGTAATCTTTGTTAATTTTCATATATAAGTGGCAGATATCCATATTAAATTAGCTTATATGAACAGGTGATTAAATTAGAATGCTGATTATTCTGAGGGAAAGGAATGGGGAGAGTTTGAGCTTGGTGATTACAGGAAAAATGGGACTTGGGGAAAAACATATTCCCTTCATCTATTGTCTCTTCTCCACTTATGTTATGGTTCACTTATTTCTTCATCAGTTGATCATCTAGGCATGGCAGAAGCTATGCTCCCGGTAGCACTCAGGTTCAAACTGTCCTTGTTTTACTGCCAGAGAAGAACTAAAATACCACCACCAGTAGGTTTTCATGATTTGTGGAGTGTTGGTCGGAGCTTGTTTTCCAGTAGGTCCAGTGGAGCCATGACCCATTTTAAGGATATTTTTTCAGTTCCAATCGCCCATACGCCTTAGATTAAAAAAAAGAAATCAACATAGCATCTCTGAAGAAATTCTGTTCTGAGGGACATACAGAGATTAGTGACAAAATGAAGAACTTTAAATATGCATGGATGATAATTTATCCCCTATATCTCTTTAACTCACATTTTCCCTGTGCAAGTGAGATGAGTCATGGAGAATGGCTATGTCCTATTGTAAAATTAATTTGGAATTGACAGCAATTTTATCCATGGATCTATATGTGGTATATTTCTTAAAGAAAACCACAATAGAACCAGGCATGTAATATGTACCTGTTGGCTTAGCAAATGGGTTATTTTTAATTCTTATCTTCAAAAGTAATCTTACGCAGCAAACAGATGTGAATTGGTTATATACAAATACCATGCCATTTTGTATAAAAGAATTGAACATCCATGGACTTTGATATCCAAGGGGGCCCTGGAACCAATTCCCCATAAATACCAAGGGATGACTGTATTATATTCATGTGGTGAGGATAGCTTATGATATTTAATTTTCTTGTACTCTGTTACCTTTCTTAAGTTGATATTTCACAAAATAACATCTTTGCACAATAACTTGTTTATGACAGTAATGTATAACCATAAGAAATTCACAAATATTAAGGTATGTCCTATCATCAAGAAGTAACTGATAAAAAATAATCGAATAACCTGGTAGGTGGGATGACCACTGTATGATGTCAGGGTGATTTCTTACAGGGTGTGATTTTTTTCCCCTTAACAACTGGCTGATATGTGAGTGAAGTCTTCTTCATTACCTCTTCTGAGAATAAGGGAGGGGAGAGCAAAATCCCTTTTGCAATTATGCCTTATAATTCCTTTAAGGATATTTTGTTTCTCATTTCTGTGAACTTGGGCTTGGTAGCTTTCAATGACTTAGTATCCACGGAAGAAATGCTTGTGCCAGAGAATATAGCCATGGCTCAACTGATTTGTTAGTTAAGACTAAGGGAGATCATTTTGAATTCCTCAAGCAACATGTTCACTGAATTGGCTGGTTGATTGATTCCAAATATAGAGAAAAAATTGCATTGCTGTCTCATATAGTAATAAAGATTGTGTCTGGAATTTTGGGGGTTCACATTAGCATTTCTTAATATTTCCTTGCCTGATGATACTGGTCAATAGGAATCTGAAATATGCTGTTAAAGATAGGGCCCCTCACTATCCTGGGGTAAGGTTAAGGTTAGTTAGCTTAATTGAGGTCTGTTATATTCAAGAGATTTCAAATTTTTTTTTTTTTGTCACTTCTCCTTTGGAAATGTGAAGTAGAAACTGTCCTCCCCTTGAATTGTCTGGACCTGATGACAGCTTTGATCAATAGAATAGGAAGGAAGTAAAGCTGTATCATTTCCAAGCCCAAACATTAAGAGACTTGCAGGTTCCACTTCTTGTTCCTTGGAGAGTTCACTCTGGAGGAAGCACCTGCAATGTAAGAAGTCTGGCTGCCTTGAGAGTGCCATTGTGTTAGTAGCCCAAGCTGAGCCCAGACTTCCAACCACCCCCATTGTTATGGATGTAATTGCTCTCCCCAAAGATATATTTAATTCCTAATCTCAACTATCTTAGATTGTGACCTTTTAAAAAAAGTAAGCTCATTGCAGATATAATTTATTTAGTTGCAGTCATACTATTTAGGGTGAGTCCCTAATCCATCTGACTGACTTCCTTATAAGAAGACAATATGATGTGAAGATGCAGGAGAAGATGATCATGTGGCAATGGAAACAGTAGAGACTGGAGAAATATATCTACGAGCCAAGGAATGCTAATGTGGCCATCAAACACCATTACTTAGAAGAGGTATTCAAAGGTTCCACTGTTTTGAGAGGGAGCATGACCCTGATGACACCTAGATTTCAGATTTTTAGCTTCCAGAAATGTGAGACATTAAATTTCTGTTGTTTTTAGCCATAGAATTTGTGGAATTTTTTATGGTAGCCCTAGGAAAGTTATACAACCACCGAGGTATCAGACATGTAGGAAAACAACAGCCTGAGCCTTTTGGACTAGCCTATTTATCAACTCAGTGCCACTGAGTCTACACCACAAAGAGTAGGTTTTGTGGCTCCTAATCTTGCTGGTCTAGAGTACTGCATCTCTCTTGTTGATTTATTTAAACTTACACATGCTTCGCAGAAATACTTCTATTAAACTCTCTTTAAGTAACCATTCTGACTGTGCTGAGAGTTTCCCCTTTATTTTGACTCATTTGCCATACTTTCTGAAATATCAACTGAGATAAAAATGGACCAAATGGAATAAATCCAAAATAGTAAGAAAACCTAGAGAGAGAAAGTTTTAGCAAAGCTCTGTTAGAAAGGTTGTTTCAGAGGGAGTATAGCCCTGGTGACTGCTAGATTTCAGGTGGGAAATGGAGAGAAAAAGTAGAAGAATTTGCAAACAGTTCTCAACTGTACCAAACCACAGCTAGTGTTATGACCTGTAATGAAAATCATAGACAGTATAACCCACTTGCATATATAATTTTTAGAATTCAAAGACATAACTGTAATGTAGAAAAGAAATAAAAATAATTTATTATGAAATAGTATTTTCATATGTAACTAGTCCATGTATTATAAGATGAATATGGCCCCACAAATTTCTACAATATCTTTTAATTTATGGTACCATCATTCTTATAAACCACTATTCCAAGCAAAATAACAGAAGCCTTCATCAAAGAAAGTGAAAAAGCAGCCTGGAAGAATTAATGGCCCATTGTGGAGATTGGTAGCCCAGAGTGAAGCCTGGCACGTACTGGTGTTTGCAGGCCTTGGAGCTTGAGAACATGTTTCTGCCTCTTACCATTAAGGGAAGACAATCTGCTTTAAGGGAGATTCCAACAGTGACTACAACCATTTTCAATAATGTAGAAAATCCCATAGCAACCAGTAAAAATTTTTTATGGGTAACTAACACAGTAGAGTTATGATAGAAGATTATCAGACCCCTACATGGGAAAAACAGTTTATAAAAAATGCCCACAATGAAAATATGAATTGACAAAATTACTTCAAATAATGAGAGATATTCAAACAAAGAATAACAACCAAATGCTTTAATGGATATATGAGAGAGATTCAGGGATATACAACTATCACAAAACAGGAGAAGAACATGATAGTAAAGAAACTATTAGAGCACCATAAAACATAGAATAAAACAAAATTGCAAAAAATCAATAGACATACTGGAAGATTAAAAAATGTAAAAAATGATCACATACAGTAGAGCAAAATATAAAAAAAAGAACACATGAGAATATAAGAACACAGGTCAGTCCTATAGAAAATACATGAAATCATAAACATGTTCCAGTATTGAAGCACATCAACCTTCATTTTGCAATAACACTTGCATTACCCTCTCTTCACAATTTTGAGAAATAAATAGAATATATAAAATATGACCTGTGTCAAGAAACGTCTATAACATTTACAGCCCCAAAAATAAATAGAAAGTTTTAAAAGATTCTAAATATGAGGTGGGTAGACAAAACAACAACATGAAAAGAAATGCATAACATAAATTGTCATAATCAATTGAATAAATTTTTATTGGTACCAGAGTTTTCATAACCCCTGTTTGATTATGAAATACTATCAATCTTCTATATGTTAAAACTCTTCTCTGAATCTTCTTTTCAACATCTTGTACTATCAGTCAATCTTCTATATATTAAAACTCTTCTCTGAATCTTCTTTTCAACATCTTGCTTGGCATTAAAACTTACTATCCTTGAGATTAATTAAGGACACATTTTCTTTTGTCTAAAGAGGAGATATGTCCTCCTTTTAGTTTCTTACTACTTTATCAAGACCATCCCTTTATGCTCCTTAATATCCTCAAGTTTTGAAGCTCATTTCATGAAACAACTACTCAGATCACTCCTTTTGGCAGTCATCTACAGTTGATTATGTCATCCACGTCATACATGAATAGAGAAAATGTCCTAGGGTATTTGTCCCTCTTTTCAATAATCATATCATAATTCTTGATGACCTCAGTATCCATGTGGGTAATTTTACTTGCTACTGGCTTCTCAGTTATTTGAATACTTCACTCCAGGGATATTATTCTCTGAACACTAACTCTACCACACATGCCTATGGTCATATTCTAGACATCATTGTTTTGATAGTTGTAACTAGAAATGGCTACATAATTTGTCAGACCTAGTGAAAAATGAAAATTCAGTACTGCTTGCTCTAATATTAGGAAGAATTTCAAGGTGATGACAATAGAGCACTGGAAATCACAGGACACTTCTAAGTATGAGGCAATGTGTGCCTGTACTGGACTCGTGCTCATAAACCAATACTGGCTTTTACATAAACTCAATGTCAAATTTCCCCTCTTTAAACAGCTGTCCAGCTTTTTTCTCCCCTGCTTACTTTCTCTATTTTCCTGGTTCCAAGAATTACCTGATCTCACAAGTGTCTGTAATCCTTTTACTACTAGCTTTTCACTCTCTCTCACCTATTTCATGTCTGTACTTGTGTTCTTAACAAATGTTATTCCACAATTTTTGTACACACACACACACACACACACACACATATATATAATATATATTTTCTCTAAATCTCCTAGTCTTTTTCTCCATAAGTCATATGCACATGAAAAAGACAAAACCCCTGGTAAATCTAATGCTGACTACTTTATATTTGCACCCAAACATCTAGATGCGGCTGAAGAAAAATTGCAAAGCCACTCTTACTGGCTTTAGTTTAAAATTAATGACCACAATCCGGCTCTTAGTAGTATCTTAAAATGTTGCTGTATTTTCCTGGTCATTTCATTCTAATAGGCTGCAATTCAAATTTTCTCATAGGAGTCTCACATGCAATTTGTCTAATTTTCAGTCTCAGTCAATGGCTTGCTTACCATTACACTGAGAAAATCAAGCAGTAAGGAGGGAAATCCTTTTGGTCCCATCATTGTAATCACCCTCGTACCTGTATTTTTGTCCACATATTTTGCCTTTCCTCTTGATGTAAATGAGTTGTCTATACCACTGGTTGAAACCAATTCTCCACTATTACGTACCCAGGGACATTGCTTGAGCAGTCACTTTCTCTCTTGCGGTGTCATGTTTTTATCTCTCTAGAAAATCTATCCTCTCAACATACCAACAAGTAATATTGACCATCCTAAAGCAAATGAACCAGAAGCAAACAAACAAACAAAATCCAAACAATTTATTAAAATTCCTGTTTCCCATTCTGTCTCATTTATATATTTCCTCACCTCTAAATATTGGAGTGAACTTTTCTCTTTTCTCTCTCTCTATCTCTGTCTCTGTCTCTCAGAGTGAACTTGTCTGATCTTTTGGCCTGTATATTTTCCAAAATAAATAACTCCAGCCTGTATCCCACTGTAAAAATCTTGTCTTATATATGGAATAATCAACATTTCTCCTTGAATTTCTAATAGGAGTCCCAAAATAAAATTTTTAAAATTATGCTTCTAACCTCTTCCAAAATCCTGCAATCCTATTTTCACTACAGTTTTCTATATCCTGTTGGATAAGTCTATTCTCCAATTTTCTCAAGTGAAGAATCTTATAGTCATTTTGAATTATTTCTGTCTTCACACAGCATCTAATCCAACACCAAATCTTGTTGGGTGTAAGTACACCATATATCCAGAATCTGGCTGCAGCTCACCTACTTCCCTGATAGTACTTTGGTCCAATTAAAACATCCTTTATCACCTGGAATATTCCAGCAGTCTCCTAACTGGTTGCTCTACTTCTGTTCTTGAGCTCTTACAGTATATTTTCACCAAGACAGAGTGCTTCTCTGAAAATATATTTTGTGTCACATTTTTCCTCTGCTCAAAATTCTGCATGGATTTTACATCTCAGGAAGTGTAAAAGCCAATGTACTCATGATGGTCTGCAAATTGCTGCAAATTGCTGTGTGTCTGGGCAATCTAATACCTCCTCAACCTTACCTCTGGCTTCCTGTTCAACAACTCTGTCTTATTTGCTCTTTCTAACACATCAACTGTGCTTCTACCTTAAGGCCTCCCACTCCTGCTATTTTTCATACATGAAATATTCTTTGCTCTGATATCTAAGTGCCTCACTGACCTTCTTCTCCCATTCTTCAGGTCTCTGCTTAAATGTGATTTACCAGTGTCATATATGTATCTAGCCCCAGGAATGAGTGGGGAAAAGGGTAAAAACAATAATAATATTGAGACAATTGAGTAAATTTATTTTTCTACCTCTGTGTGCTTGCCATGTTGAACCTGGTACAAAATAGATACAGTGTACTCATCATATGGTCCAAAGTAATAATCTGAAGGAACTAAATTATGTCTAGTGGTCCAGTCCCAAAATGCTGAGAGATACTGTCTGAGCCATCCTGGACCGTTACTGTAGACTGGGCATATCTTTTCAAAATTCATGCGTTGAAATCCTAAACCCCAATGTGATAGCAGATGAGGTGATATCATGAGGGTGGATTGCTCATAAATGGGATTAGTGCCCTTATAAAGATATCCAGAGAGCTCTTCCCCTTTTGCCATGTGAGCACACAGCAAGAGGACAGCTGCTCATGGACCAGGGTGCAGGCCTTCACCAGCCACAGAATCGGCCTGCCAGCACCTTGATCTTAGAAGCCCCAGCCTCTAGAAAGGTAAGAAATGAATTTTTGTTATTTATAAGACACCTATTTTATGGCACTTTTGTCATAATAACCTAAAATGGAGTAAGATAATCATATATCAAATAACTGCTCCAGACAGTTTTGATTTGTGAATGATAATCCTGCAGTGCTGACATGCAGGCTAGCACCTCCACTCTGAGCACCCACGCACA